CTGAAATGGCAGGGCCAGTGAGGAGGCTGTTGTAATCTGCACAACGCTCGGTGCCTTGGACGTGGGGAGCAGTAGTTAGAATCCGGATATGGTTTAAGAAGAGAACTGACTATATTCGCTATTGGATTGGAAACCGGTGAAAGAGAAAGAATATACAAGGATGACTCAGAGGCTTTTGCTGAGTGGCTAAAATGGGGTTTCCACTGACTGAAGTGGAGAAGAGAGTTATCCGAGTGGGGTGAGAACTAGATTTTGATGCAGTAAATCTACCCTTTTGCTCAATTTTCAACTCTACTGCAAGAAAGAACCATGGTAAGTTAGAAAAATAGGTTAAAAGTCATAGTACTTAAATTCAGCACTTTTGAAAATCAGTCTTTAGACTGATCATTTCTCCAGGAATCCAGATGTGACCTTAGGATATTGGCTGCAACTTTTTTCTGTTTCATATGGCACCTGCTTACTATTCTAATATTAAATTTATGACCTTCAGATCTCTGAATTTCATAAACAAGTATCCTTTAAAAGGGTTTGGAGATTGACATAAGATTGCCAATTTTTTAATTTTCTCAACTGCGTTTAAGCTATAAGTTTTATTTGATCTCAACCTCATTTCGTGAATGGAAGGTTTTTGTGTTTTTTTTTTTAATCACCAAAAACAAAAAGAAAGAGAGGAACAAAGTGTCCCACAGCCACTTAACTTTTGTGACTTCTCTCCAACTACATACGTTCAAAAGTGAATACTTTAAAGAGTGTGGGAGTCTGTCGGATGTTTCCGTGGTTCTACCTGCAGAGTACGTGCTCTGGAGTGATTAGGGTGTGGAAAATGTGACCCTTCCCTTTCCTGCTAGGGCTGGGTGTACAGTGAATCTTCTGTTCCTCTAAGTCCCGTGTTCCTCAGCATTGCGTCATTCAAGTCTTTAAGAGGTTTGTTTGTTTGTTTTTTATTTTATTTTATTTTTTCTGTTTTGTAATAGTTCAAGATAATTTTTGTTAAATATCTTTATTGGAATATAATTTCTTTACAATGGGGTGTTAGTTTCTGCTTTATAACAAAGTGAATCAGTTATACATATACATATATCCCCATATCTCTTCCCTCTTGCATCTCCCTCGTTCCCACCCTCCCTATCCCACCCTTCTAGGTGGTCACAAAGCACCGAGCTGATCTCCCTGTGCTATGCGGCTGCTTCCCACTAGCTATCTATTTTACATTTGGTAGTGTATGTATGTCCATGCCACTCTCTCACTTTGTCCCAGCTTACCCCTCCCCCTCCCCATGTCCTCAAGTCCATTCTCTAGTAGGTCTGTGTCTTTATTCCCGTCTTGCTCCTAGGTTCTTCATGACCATTTTCTTTTTAGATTCCATATATATGTGTTAGCATACGGTATTTGTTTTTCTCTTTCTGACTTACTTCACTCTGTATGACAGACTCTAGGTCCATCCACCTCACTACAAATAACTCAATTCCGTTTCTTTTTATGGCTGAGTAATATTCCATTGTATAGATGTGCCACATCTTCTTTATCCATTCATCCGTTGATGGACACTTAGGGTGCTTCCATGTCCTGGCTATTGTAAATAGAGCTGCAGTGAACATTGTGGTCCATGATTCTTTTTGAATTATGGTTTTCTTAGGGTATATGCTCAGTAGTGGGATTGCTGGGTCATATGGTAGTTCTATTTGTAGTTTTTTAAGGAACCTCCATACTGTTCTCCACAGTGGCTGCATCAATTCACATTCCCACCGGCAGTGCAAGAGGGTTCCCTTTTCTCCACACCCTCTCCAGCATTTATTGTTTGTAGATTTTCTGGTGATGGCCATTCTGACTGGTGTGAGATGATATCTCATTGTAGTTCTGATTTGCATTTCTTAATGATGTTGAGCATCCTTTCATGTGTTTGTTGGCAATCTGCACATCTTCTTTGGAGAAATGTTTATTTAGGTCTTCTGCCCATTTTTGGATTGGGTTGTTTGTTTTTTTTGATATTGAGCTGCATGAGCTGCTTGTAAATTTTGGAGATTAATCCTTTGTCAGTTGCTTCATTTGCAAATATTTTCTCCCATTCTGAGGGTTGTCTTTTTGTCTTGTTTCCTTTGCTGTGCAAAAGCTTTTAAGTTTCATTAGGTCCCATTTGTTTTGTTTGTTTGTTTTTTAAAATACTGTGGCACTTAAAGGAAAGCCAAGTATTTCATCAGATATGCTCAGCCACAGAACTAGCAATCTATTCCATGCTATAGGAAAAACAGGCTGTGATTGGCTTGGACTTCATTTTGTACCTTCTTAAGAAATTCTGAAGGGTAATTTTGGCTGGATGTAATTTTTGCAATAAGGAATCACTTTACTCCATCCTAAGATACGGTTCCACTATGGTCTCAGAACAAAGGATAATCCTTTACATAGAATATTACAGCCTATGGAAAATACATTTCATTGCCCTTATTTTTCTCATTTTTTTGTAGGTGGGTAAATATTTCATTATGGATATTCCTCCATTCTCAGACCTGCAATTGAAAATCAGTAATTTAAGGGAATGGTTTAGTTTCCACAAATGAAAGCATGTGGGATCTTGGTGATCAGGCAGTGGAAAAAGTACCATCTCCTTGCTCCCTGGTGTTCTTTAGAGATAGAATGGAAAGGTCTCACATGTGTCAGGGCTGGGCACAGAGACATACACATCTTTGGCGAAAACAAATGTTAGTACCTACCTCTTGCTTCATCATCCTTCCCTCCTTGATCCCACTTGTAAATGTCACAGCTGGGTATTTGTGGCTGTGGCTAGATCAGGAGATGCCAGTCGGTGAGTCTTGAGTCAAAGCTCAGGTCTTTCTGAGGTGTCAGAGTGGAGAACAGGCAAGTTCAAGGTGTGAAAGGAGAGCTGAGCTGGCATCCTAAGACATAAACCTTGTTGGCAAATGTGGGCAAGAGAAGTCCAAGTGACGGGTGGTTGTTGATATTAGGGATCAATTGGATATCTGGAAACAGGTGAGCAGTGGACACCAGCTGAGAACAGTGATGTCATTCAAGTCAACAAACGTTTATAGAGTCACTGCTATGTGCAGCTAAGTGCGCTCAGATTTCTGAGCTGGGAACAGCCTAGCACGGGACAAGTATAACTGACGTTTGAATGCTGACCTTGGGCAAGGACAATCAGTCTCTGCTCTGGCTTTAGTAACCCAGTTTGGGCAGATAAGACTCAGTGAGAACTGTGATGGGGGTGGGGTGGGGGATGATCAACTTCTGCCTGTGCTGATGATTGTAACCAAAGGCAGGGCCCCTGGGAGACCCACAACTTCAATGCTCCATGTGGGTGGGCCATCCCCATTCTTATCTGCGCCCCACAACCCCCCCTCCCCCCCTCCCCCGCCCCCGTGCTAGGTTTCCTTTCTTCTATGTGTTTCCAAAGCAGAATTCTTTCACGCTGACTTTACTCAATAGAGGTCTTAACCTAGAGTCTGGGTCGAAGGGACATGCTGTTATAGTCTGGAGCCAAGTGGGCCTTGACAATCAAGTTCTTGACTGGATAAGTGAAGTTCCATTATTTTGATTGTGCACCCCTCCCCCCAACCACCCACCTGTGAAGCAGCCATTGACCTCGAGACATTACAGAATATTAAGCACACGAATGAAAATGAAAGAGAGAGAGGTCGGTTTTCATTCCTTCTTTTTCTTACTGGGTCAACAAGTAACCACTTTGGAAGGAGCAGAGCTGAAGTAATCCATCAGGAATTGGCACTGGGTTTCTGGGAGCCCCAAGTCCAACAAACCTTTTCACTAGTGTGTTTGTCTAGGAATCAGGAAAAAAGAAGCTTGAGTGTTGGTTTATTTTATGTTTCCAACTAAGGGTAATTACATAAATACTAGAAATTTTGCAGGGGAAAACACCCTTCATTTTCACTAAATGATCGATCTAATAGTCAAGAGATACTTGAATGCATAGAGATTAGAACTGGATATTTTGGACTTTCTGCACACAGAACGGTTCTTTTCAGAAGCCGTCCCCAAAGTCTGGGAATTTGTTTCTGGTTAGAAGTCTAGTATTCTGACTAATGTCGCATCCTCCTTAGGAAAAAACCCACAATTGGGTGCCGGCTGCAAGTAAAGAGTGATGTTCTTCAACCCTATGTAATCGGCCCTCTGTCTCTGCGGTTCCGCGTCCGTGGATTCAACCCAACTGGGATCAAATGTATTCGGAAAAAAAAAAAATTCTAGAAAGTTCCAAAAAGCAAAAATTGAATTAGGTACGGGCCAGCAACTATTTACATAGCATTTACATTGTATTTGTAACTATTTACACAGCATTTACACTGTTTTTAGATATTATAAGTAATTTAGAGATGATTTCAAGTATACGTGGGTGAATAGGTTATAGGCAAGTACTATGCCACTGTGTATAAGGGACTTGAGCGTCGTCCCTGGATTACGGTGCCTGCAGGGCTCTGGAACCGACTGTACACACCTGTGCAAAGCTAATCAACCTCGGAACCGGGCCCAACTGCACAGGCTTCTCTAGGCGGAGAGGTCTCCTGACAGAAAAGCTGACAGTTGTTTTTTGAGGACGAGGAACTATTTGCAAAATCTGTTTTGCGAACCAATAAGCTACCTTTAAGATTTTGAAAATGAAATGGAGAGAAAAGCATTCAGCAACCAACTTGAACTTTTGGGTGGGGAAACCCCTCACACCCCCAGGGCCTCCCTTGCAGAGGCCCAGTGAGAAACTCTGAGAATCCTCGGGGCAAGCCTGGACCCTGGGGGACCTGCCCCGGGCTGGGGCCTGGGCGGTGGGAGTGCCCATCCCGTCCTGGAAACAGCACCGGGCGGGGCTCGCCCGTGGAGCCAGAATCCCCGGAGCCACATCTCCGTCCTCTCCGAGTGAGGCCTGGAGACGGTTTCCAGGGCCAGTTCCGTTTCAGCCTGTTTCTATTTTAAAGCCTGGAGACAATGAAAGACTAGTGTCTGGTGCCAGTGTTTTTTGTTTTTTTTTTCCTTTTTTTGCACAGTTCACGCTATTCTTAGAAACAGTTGAGCCAGTGGTGGTGGAGGCCGAAGGCTCTGAAACCTTTTTCCTCATGTGGCAACAGCTTCTTTTTCGTGAGGCTGATGCGGCTTGGATTTGCTTCTTCCCTGGGAGCACACACACTGAAGCCTTTGCACACGAAGCAGGAAGGACAGGGATCAGGGTGGCAGGCAGAGGAAAAAGCAGGACTGGCTTTCCGAGGCCGGCCGCTTTATTTATAGCTCCTAAAATGGTGTTTGTTCAACTCTCCTGAACTTTTGTGGACGTTCAAATATGGGAACTGTGCTCATAAAAATGCTAATTATATTTCTCAAAGTATTTTTAACCATCTGTGACGCTGAGGCTGCATTTTGGCAAAATAGCCTTTGAATATGGTCCTATGGAATTAAAGAAATTAATCCTCCCAGATTTTGTTGAGCACTTACTATGTATGACACAAGTTTACATAAGGTATAGTTTTTGTCTTCGTGGAAAAGAAGACATCCACATGGATTTCTACAATAAAAATAACCAGGGAACATTATTACCTCAAAGCATATATTATAAAGGCCGTTTCCGTGTTGAACTAGGAACATTCCAGAATGATTCAATGTTTGCTTTTGTGTATGTTTGAAATTCTCCACAATAAGAATTAGAAGCTATAAGCGTGAAAGAAAGAATAGTATACATTTTGAAATCATTAAACAGGAAAAACCCTGTAGAGTCACTTAAATGATACTTTAAGTGAATATTTACCATCTTAATTGCACATATTAGAAAATGAAAAAGATTAGAAACTCATGAGCTAGGTACTGTCCACAATAGTAAAAACACCACCACAGAGCAAGCAGAAAGAAAGCAGAAGGAAGGAAATCATAAAGATATAAGGGTAGCAATTAATGGGCTAGAAAGCAAAGTAATAATACAGAAAACCCACCAAACTAAAAGCTAGTTCCTTGAAAAGAATGATAAAGCAGTCTCTGGTGAGAACGACCAAAAGCAGGACGAAGGAAGGCACGACAGAGAAATAGGACATAACTAGAGGGAGATTTCCAAGCCTATCAGAGCATACTATGAATAACTTCTTGACAGCATGCTGGAAACTTCGAGAAACTGGACAGTTTCCTGGAAAAAAGTCAGTTACAAAAAACTGATGACACAAAAAGATGGAATCTACCTATAATCACAAAAGAAGTGAATCAAGTTAATAATCTACAGCTTTCCCCCAGCCCCTTCCTCTGCAGAAAACAAGCCAGACGCAGCCAAGATTACAAAACCTTCAAAGAACAGATAAGCTTGACTTTGCATAAACTTTTTCAAAGAATAGAAAAAGGACAGCTCCCCACCTCATTTTGTATATATAGCCTTGATAATAAAACTGAACAAGTAAGGTAAAATAAAGCAAAATTGTAAGCCATTGACAATTATGAATATGAAGGCAATGATCTGAAATAAATTATTAGCAAACTAAATCCATCAAAATATTTTTCAGACATTTTTGCCCAATGAGTGTTTATCTCAATATTGCAGGATAACTTGCATTAGGAAATCTTTTAATGTAATTTACCACATTTGAACATTTAAAGATACGCAAACATTACTATACATTGCTTAAAGTTTTAGGTCTATGTAAAATATAAAACACAGTCAAGTTATTTTTCATCTCTGGTGGTGGTGGTTGAGGAGTGAAGTGTGTGCTTCAACTGTCATTAGATGTTTTTTTTTTTTTTAAAAAAAAAACTCAATATTGCAGGATAACTTGCATTAGGAAATCTTTTAATGTAATTTACCACATTTGAACATTTAAAGATACGCAAACATTACTATACATTGCTTAAAGTTTTAGGTCTATGTAAAATATAAAACACAGTCAAGTTATTTTTCATCTCTGGTGGTGGTGGTTGAGGAGTGAAGTGTGTGCTTCAACTGTCATTAGATGTTTTTTTTTTTTTTTTTTTAAAAAGAAAAAGGTAACTGAAACCAAGCTTCAGTTAAGGCAAACAGTTCTTAGAACCAGTGCATCAGCCCATTTTTTTCTGAATTTTTGAAATATTACACAAGTAAACATTTTAAATTTAAGACAAAAAGAAAAAAGGTAAAATTCAAAACTGAAATAAATTAGAACCTGCACTGTTCTATTGATATTTTCCATTTTTATTCACTGATCTACCAGAAAATGTTCCGTTTATAACTGATTTTGCTTGTTAGACCAAGATTCTGAAGGGAAGGTCTTCCTGGCTTTTCTTCCATAAAGTGTTAATAGTGTCTGTGGTTAACACGTTAGAATTCTTGTTTTCCAACTATGCGAAAAAAGTGATATATTAAGTAGATGTTTGAAATAGAGAAAAGATTAATCTTCTCATCAATAACCATCATAACCCCACTCCAGACACAAACGGTCCACCCTCTCTGTGCCTTTTTACTTCCTCCAGTGCCCCGGGCTCATCGATGTGCTTCTGAGGTTGTAGTTCACTTCTCTCTGCTCTCTGATCCCTCCTCGGGTTTCATCTGCTTTGTCCCTTCATTATTCCCCACATCCCGTGTCTCCTCTCCTAATTATCCCAACAGGAGGGACTGACTAGTCACATATATTAGAATATGTTACCTGGTTGTCGAAGTGAAAGCTCTGCCGAGTATATTTGCACAGAGCAGTAGTTGCACATATACGAGTGTTCCAGGAAAAGGCAAAAGAGCAGCTGAGGGCGTGACAAGTGATGGGACGGCATAACGATGACACGTTAAAGGCTGTGCAGAGCGGGGAGCGCCCATCTGTGACTGAAGAAGTGATAGAGGAGGAAGGAATAGGCATTTGGACTGAAGCAGGAAGGGCCTAGAAGAGCTGACAGTGGAAATAACAAGAGTTGAGACCAGCAAGCAAAACAAAAAAGGGCTGTAAATAGGGTGCTGTAAATGGTTTGGTTCGAATGTCTTCAATTAGGAGATCTCAGTCTCCTTCCAGGAAGCCCATTCTACCTCTGTCTCTAGGTTAAATAATTCCTCCTATTGAGCCAAATCTGATTTTCTGAAGCTTTCTGGATCTAGCTCTGGAGACAAGAGCCAGCTCCTTCCACGGGAGATGTTTAAAGATCGCCGTCACAGTCTGGCACTCCTCACACACTATCTTCTCTTGTCTATACCACACATTCCTTGTAGATTCAAGGCTTCCTCAGATGCTGTGTTTTCCCATCTTTTCTGGGTGCTTTCCAGTTTGCCATTTCCCTTTGCTGCATCTGCCTTTGAAAATATAACACCATGAAATGAACAGGATACTGTAGGTACCAGCAGGCTGGAGAATGGGATGCCCACCTCCATCTTTCTAGATTGTAAATATCTGTAATCATAACTTGAGATGGACAGCTGCTTTCTTTCGTGTTTTTCTTTTTACTTGCGTGAAGGCTCTAGTGAAGGAGCCTTTTATGTTCTTAATTCCTAGTGCTGTGATCTAGATGGCTCCTGCTTGTAACAGATTGTCCTCTCGATTTAAAAATGTTCCGTAACTAACCTTCTGCCCCATAGTTATATCTGCCCACCTCTCCCTCAAGAATGTCGCCAGCCAAAGTTTTGCAACTGACAGGTTTATTGGGTCAGTGGTATTTATTCTGGTGGGGCTTGAAGTCCTGGGTCCTCCTCCACTCTGGCTTCTTAGGATGTTGGGGGTAGGAAGCAACTTCTGCCTTTGAGCTGATAATGTGATCTTTGCTCACCAGAGGTCACAGAAGGAAGACAGAGGACACTCCTCTAGCCAAGTTCAGAGGTTGGCTGCCCATGTGGGATAAAAGGGCAGCAGAAAAGGGACACCGTAATTGGGTAAATCTGTCAAATTTTCACATTTCCAGTTTCCTACTTGTTCATGTAGATAAAATCTGTCCTTCTGTTTCTCAGGTACATCACATCAGGTTCTCTGAATCATAGCCGGGTCTCTCTGCATTTTTGGGTGCAACACACATTTCTTGAGTGTTCTGTGATCCAGATACTGTGCTGGATTCTGAAGTTGCTGGATTCTGAAGCTGCCGAGGAGATAAGACCATGCCTGGCCCTTGAGGAGTTTACACTTTTATCGGGGAGACAGACAAGCATGAAGGTAGAGGCCATCTCAGCTACCACTCGCTTTATTCTTAATACATTTTCTGGTTTATGTTTGTCTTACATCTTAGTGCAGATTCCAGCTTTCTTGGGAAGACTTCCCAGATTTACCTCCCTTGGGCTCAAACATGATGGTCATTCATGTTGTTACTGGGGGCTCAGATCTGGCTCTTAATCCGTCCTGCATGGTTTGAGGGGAAACCAGGGATGGGCAAGGGAACCTGGGTCTGCTCCCTGATCCCACATCTTCTTGGCTGTGTGGCCTCGCTTCAACCTTAATCCTCTGTTCCTTCATCGTAAAAGGAAGGGAATACGTGTACCTCACAGAACCCTCGCGAGTACCTGGGAGATAATGTATATAAGATACTGTACCATGTGTTACCTGTTTCAGAGTAGTCGCTCATTAAATATTAGTTTCCCCCTTCTTTTCTTCATATCTCTATTTCTTCATCTATTAAAGGGTTAGTCTATCATTTCCAATTTCTCGTCTGCCTCCAAGATGATGAGATTCTGATATACTGATATTTAGTTATTGCAAGAATAATTATTTCCTGTGTCTGTTTATTTTTCAAGCAGTATCATGAGTTTCTTGAGAGTTGTTATAATTTTGTGCTCCAGGCAGTGGTGGGTTTTCTGTGTATGCAGTGGATATCATTCATCTATGTGTTGTTACATACCTATTATGTCTGTTTGTCTTGTTTTCTGTTAAAAAACACGGACTCCTTGAGAAAACTTCTTGGCCGTATCCCCTCTGCACTGTTGTACACTGTTGTGCAAAGGGAAGATTGATACATATCGAGAGTGGATGGGATTACAGGTTATCCTCCATTGAAGTTCATGCTTCCTTTAAACATTATCTATAGAATTGCTTATATTCACAAACATTAATCTTCCACAGAAACTTTCAGGTAGCGTAAAGCGTTCCTCAGATACCCTATCCTAATAATAACGTTTCCGAGTTGTCGTCATTTTTTTCATTTGATATATTCTTTAAGAGTTTGCTTGTGAGCTGTTGAAATTCAAGTACTTGCCATAATTGAATTTCAAATCTTATCTCTCTTTTATAATCTGATATGTATTCCTACTGTGCTTTGGCTCCACATATAATAAAAATCACATTTCAGAAATCCAAATTTTATCTCAAGGGAGATTTCTGCTCTTGTTAATGAACAGTTTGTATACATTGAACACTTCTGAAAAAGTTTAGTCAAATGGTCCTCAAGCCTCTTACTCTTTGGAAGATCATTATAGTCTATACTAAATACAAAACAAACAGCAAACCCTGTTATTAGAAATTCTCCCTGAGACCATACAAGTTGAATATTTAAAAAATGACACTCTGCCATTGCTCGGAGAACTGAATTCTCTCGGTAAATGCATATTCACTTATCGTTTTCCCAGACGGCAAATATGACCGAGGTATTACAGCGTTCCCTTGTTTGTACTCAAATAGTAAAAGGACTGCCTCTTTAAATGAGATCTTATCCCGGTTAACAATTTAGTTAATAATTAGTTAGTTTAAACCCCTTCTAGAACTTAACACTTGATCTAAGTACATCCTTGGCCCCTGCTAGTCTCAAGGAGTTATCTGGAGACTTTCAAAACTCCTTAGGTTTAGGAACGTCTAGGAGAGTGCTGTCACACATGAGCCTTTTCCCCCCCTTTCTCTTGAAAGGAATAAAGGTTTGATAGATAAACCATATATTACATCTCCACATTGCCTTTAAATCACTCCGCTTGTGTCAAGGACTAATTCTAAATGCTTTGGTTTCTAATGGCTCTACAGCAGTTGATAGCTTGACAGGACCGTGGCTCTTTGTGTGCCTGTGTGTGTGCATCCGTGTGTACCACATAGTAAAGTAAATGATTTTGTTACCTAATAGCTTCTGGACTAGCTTGAGATGTTAAGGCTTAATTTACTCAGTCTAATTAAGCATGCTTAACTCCAGGTTTCTGGAAAAAAAAGAAGCCTATTTATAAGATAAAAGGAGGAGCAACCCTGGCCTTCCGCCATCTCCCGTCCCTCCCTGGTCTCATGACCTGAGTGAACTTTTCCAGGGTGAAGCAGGCTCAGGACTTTGGAAGTTCACACCCCTCGGGTCATGACCCGGCTGTCCTGAGCGCCCACGGTTTTGAAGCCTTTTGTTTGGTCTTATAAGAAATATTTTCAGAGTTAAGATATATGTTTATATATGTATATATAGCTGCTTTATTCTTATAACAACTCTGTGAGGGAGGAACTACGATTTTCCCCCAGATTATAGGTGAGGAAGCTGACGCTCAAAGGGGTCAAATGATTTGCTTCAGTTACTACATATTGAAGCTGAAATTTTTAAAAAATGAATCTGGCCTCAAAGCCCTTGATCTCGACCGTTTTGTCGTATGTCACACACATATATTCTAGCTGAAAACATTTCCATAATGCAGCTGAAATTCCTCTTGACCCCCCGTCTCATACTATAGTCCCCCTCCCAGAAACAACTGCTCTTATGGGTTTTCCAAATCTTTGTCCTGATGCATTTGTAATATACGTATATGTAATGTGATTTCCTATTGTGGGATTTAAAAAATACAAACCATATCACACTGTATGTCTTAACCTATAACTTGTTTATTTTAATGTCACAACATATTTTAGAGATTTTTTTTTCCACTTCAGTACAAAGGTTGGGCTTTATTATTTTTTTACTGGTATCATAGTATCCTGTGTTATGGATAAACTCTAAAATATTCTATCACTTCCATACTGACATTTGGTGATTAGACTCTTTTTTTTTTAAATAAAACAAAAATGTTGCAATAAACATCCTTGTGTACCTCCTTATGCATGCTTCTTGTTATTTCTAAGAGGATAAAATCATGCCAACATGCTGTTGTGTGATTCCTAGTGCACCAACTGACGACTTCACTTTATCTTGTCCTCCAGCCTAAGAGAAATTCAGTTAGAACATTACAAAATTGTCTATACAGGTGGTGTTTAATTTTTAAAAAAATTTTTCCCCCTTAGTGTCCAGGGGTTCCTAGGATGAGTGTGCCTGACCCAACATGAGGCCGAACACGTGACCACAATGAGGGTGAGTCCCTTGCCTTTGGTCAAAGCCTCCCTGGAGGAGAAAATGATCTGAGAAGGCACCCCCACAACGTGCCTGCGGGGGTCTTCCCTGGATGCTGGCCAGTGACCTTTCTCCTGCACCAATCACTTGAGCTTGGGACAAAGCACCCCTTGTATTTATACCTTGTATATATTTCATATTATATAAGGACAGCTGGGTTTTGAACTTCTCCCCCCAATTTGTGGATGGTTCCATAGCAGCAGCAGTGGGTTTGGGGCCTGTGATATCACCGAAATGTATGTCCAGATCCTTGGCTTCCTGTGGAATCTCATTTCCATGGAGAATCATGTGTTTCTTCTCCGTATCTTCACACCTGAAAATTCTCCAAATTTTCAACGTTCATGGAAATGTTCTCTTACCCAATGAACAACTTTTCACGCTGGCTGGACCACTTATTAAAGCAGTTCCCTAAAGCACTTTTTCTTATATAATAGAAAGGAAACACTGGACTGCTTTACGTTCTAGATCTGAGTTAACTTCAGAGGTTTTTATCCTACTCTTTATCTAAAAGTCCTTGTTAAAACCCTGACTTTCTTAGGTATTCACTTCTCTAATGATCAGATACTCTAATTATCAGATAACTCTATAAAAACTAGCTAATTTGGCCACTTTTCCTCTTTTAATTAGGACAGTTTTATTTGTTTTTATCCCACAGCTCAGGGCTTTGCCAATCTCTGCAAAATACATTCTGACATCCGAGATTTGGTCAGTTTTTTAGAGTCCTAGAATTGGAGAGCTGGACGTTCCCTCAGCTGTCACTGAATCCACATAAAGACGCTGAGTGGTTGAGTTGAGTGTCTTTTTTTTTTTAATTAATTAATTTAATTTATTTATTTTTGGCTGTGTTGGGTCTTCCTTGCTGTGCACGGGCTTGCTCTAGTTGTGGCGAGCAGGGGCCACTCTTCGTTGTGGTGCACGGGCTTCTCATTGCGGTGGCTTCTCTTGTTGTGGAGCACAGGCTCTAGGCACGTGGGCTTCAGTAGTTGTGGCTCGTGGGCTCTAGAGTGCAGGCTCAGTAGTTGTGGTGCATGGGCTTAGTTGCTCCGCGGCATGTGGGATCTTCCCGGACCAGGGCTCGAGCCTGTGTCCCCTGCATTGGCAGGCAGATTCTTAACCACCTCATCACCAGGGAAGCCCTGAGTGAGTGTCTTAATGATGGGCTAGAACTCAGCTCGTCTCAGTCAAGTTCACTGCTGCTCTATCTGCTGATGGAGACTGGGATTTCTGAGCCAGAACTTGGTGAACAGTTGCCATGCAAGGAGATCCAAGTTCTTTGCCAGTGGCTCGGGTTTTTTGGGGGAAGGTGTGGGTGAAGGGAGTGGGAGAGTTTGTGGGGATTATAACACACTGCAAACCCTAAGCAAGAGTAGGGAGCTCCTGTCGGTTTTTGTAGCTGGTGGCTCTTGAGCGTGTCTAGAGCAGGGCTGACGGGGTCTGGATTTCCTGGGCTTTCTCACTCCTCACACCCTTTGGAAGCAGGGATTATGAGACTCTTCTGCCCAAGACAACCCAGCAAGGATGCCAAGAGCCCCAGCGGACTTTTGTGGGGCATGAGGTGGGAAAGGTGTTTCTCCTGGTGGGGCAGGGGTTCGAAGAAATGTTTGTCACCCCTTTATTGAACATCGTGGCTCTGTGGGATGAGAGGCCCGTCCAGCTGTAGTGCTCTGAGCTGGACACGTTCCCAGCCTTTCTGGCCCATGGAGGGAGGTGGCATCCTTGTGACTGTGAGTTTCACATTTCCGTGGACATTTTTGGCAGATAAATCCCCTTGACGGGAGCTGCATTGATGACCACGCTCTGAGATGCCTTCTAGGGCAGGTTTGTGGCGTGGGGTTCAGGGCGGAGCCCCGTCGGGTGAGGGCCTGGGCGTGAACAGGAAACGCAG